CCATGCCTGGCTAATTTTTATATTTTTTTAGAGAGACAGGGTTTCACCGTGTTGGCCAGGCTGGTCTTGAACTCCTGACCTCATGTGATCCACCCGCCTCAGCCTCTCCCAGTGCTGGTATTACAGGTGTGAGCCACCGCGCCCAGCTGTTTGGTTGCTTTTCTTCAGAAAGATAGGGTTTGTTCTTCACCCAGGTTGGAATGCAGTGGCAGTGAGATCACAGCACACTGTAACCTCGAACTCCTGGGCTCAAGCCATCCTCCCATCCTCCCACCCCTGCCTCCCAACTAGCTGGGACTATAGACACATGCCACCATGCCCAGGTAATTTTTAAGTTTTTTGTAGCAATGGGGTCTCGTTATGTTGTCCAGGCTGGTCTCCTGGCTGGAAACTCCTGGCTTCAAGAGATCCTCCCACCTCAGCCTCCCAAAGTGCTGGGATTACAGGTATAAGCCACCATGCCCGACCTCATTCTAAACACTTTCACATGGATTAGTTTATGTAATCCTTCCATCCTATGAGGTAGGTACTAGGATCATCTTCATTTTTCAGATGAGAAAATGGAAGCACAGAGAGATTAGTAGCTTGCCTAAAGCCTCACAACTAATAAGTGATAGTGCCAGGATTTGAACCCTGGTAGTTAGCCTCCAGAGGTGTGGTGCCATCTGACTACTTTCTAGAAACTAGAGGTAGCTGAGGACTGACTGGAGGCCCCACCTCCTTCCTGAAGATGGACAGATGTCATGACCAATGAAAGCCCAGCTTACCTGGCCACGTCTGTCACAAAGATAGTTTTACTTTTGGTTTTATATTAAATAACACTGAATCATATACAGAAGAGGTTATTCCCTTTTCAAGTCTTTCAGTCCTGATCACATCAAAGAGAAAGTCCCAGTTTGATGCTAATACGTCTGTAAAACATCTCTCACTTACTCTAATCTCCTTTTCTTTTTAAATTTTATTTTATTTTAATTTTTTGCGGGACAGCAGCAATTTTCAGACTCAGAGCCTCCCCAGGCTAAAGTTTCCAACTAGAATTTAATACCCTTATATGGATTTCCTGTTACGTACTTTTATGCTTTTATTCTATTTATGACGAGTGATACTGGCTTTCCACTAATGACAGCAATATAAAGTTTCCTTTTAAAAGTCTACATACTCAAATAAAAGAATGAATAGATTTAAAGAAAAAAAAAAAAGTAAATACGATGAAAGGCAGACACTGCAGAAATCACAAAGGTGTTAAGCAAATGACTGAAGCTCGGGAAACACCGTCATGGAATTACCCTTCAGAGGGGGGTGGGGGTGGCCAGCCTCGCTGAGACCATGTCACCCAACCTGTCCCTTGCACAGACAAAGGGGAAGTGTGTGTTTGTGTTCCCATGATGAGTGAACAGCAGAGAAAGGTTAAAGGAATGGGCTTGCTTGGCTTGGTTAAGTAGCAGAGCAACCTCATTGGGGATGCTCTTTCTTTGCCTTTGGGGATGGCCAGCCAAAGTGAATGGACTGGATGTAAAAAGATCAGATGTAAGGAAGATCCCACCAAGATAAGCAAACCCAAGATCAGGCTTGCCTTCAAGTTGCAATGTCCCTGTCTCTGGACAACTTTAAGAGGAGAACCTGCAGGCACCTCCATGGGCATTGCAGACTATGAGGGCCTATAGGAGCTCACAGGTAGCTGGATCTAGCCCATGCACCATTCACACTCCAGGCTTAGGAGAATCTAGTCCCAGTGAAGCTCACCAATGCCTTCCCAGGCCCTGAGCACTCCATAAGGCCTCATAGGCAGCAAACAGCTTAGATAGAAAGCCAGTGGCATGTGGCCTGCAGAAGCCAAGAAATACCATAATGTTACACAGTATTCACGAGCAGCGGGTGCTAAGTGTTCATTCGTTGGCCCTTCACAGTGGCCCTCCAAGGGAGGTGGTGTCTTCATCCCTATTTTAGAGATAGGGGAACTTTCTCAGGGATATGGAATAACTTGTCCAATGTCACAGTGCAGTAAATGGGTATCTTGGGATTTGAACTGAGGTCTGAGTGACTCACAAAGCCCAAGAGTTAAGTGAGGGGCTGTACAGAAGCCCTGGCCTTCAGGTCCCTGGCTTGGCTGTACACAGGCATGCCAGGACTGCTGCTAAGGGCATCCATGGGACCACTGAAAGCCACAGTGCTGATCCCTGGCTTACCCTCCCCTGGGAGACCAGGCTGACCCTGCATCATTGGTTGGCTAAAGCCTGGGGCCTCAAGCTTGGTATGTGGGGCTCAGTCACTGCCAGCAGGTCCTCCTTGAGGACCTCTTTCTTCCTTCCATCTGCTCAATCCTAAGACCCCATACACTGTGTGCAGATAGGGAGGTGGCCCCTTGAGCTTCTCAGCAGCACACTCCTGCCTGGACTACCCTCTCCCAGGAAGGGCAGACCCCAGCAGAACCTTTGCCCTGCTTGGGAGGAAACATGAACAACCAGTACAGCTCAGCAAGGGGCTCCCAGTATTGCTGGCCCTTGGTATCCCCTGGCATTGGGTAGATGCCCCTTCATGCCAGGGACTGGCCTCGAGCCTGTTCCTCTCTACTCTGGAGCCTCTGGGCAGTGGGTTGTGGATTTCCTAAGAGCTGACCATTGCTGTGTCAGAGGTTTGCAGCACCAAGTTACTCAACAAGACCCTGCAGCCTGGTTTGCTGTCAAGGGGAAGATGGGTCTCTCGTCCCTAGCCCGAGCGTACCCCAGTGAACTTGAATGTGCTAGTCCCAGAGGTTGGGACTCCTGAGTCAGCCTGTGAGGACAGGGCAAGGACAGTACTTGCCACAGGTCCTGGGAATGTCTGTGGGGAAGAAGAGGCTCTGCCACCCTTGAGGTCTGCTGGGTCCTGGTCCATAGTGTTCCCCTCCTCCCATCTCACCCTGAGTCAGGCCCAGGAAAGGGGTATCTTTGGTGTTTCCTGGACTTCTGAACACCACATTCATCACTACCATTCTCCTTAGAGCTGGCCCAACCCCAAGAACTGGAGAACAGGCTGGCCCCAGCCACTCTATCTCACCTTCCCAGGCATAAAGGCTTTGACCTTGGACAGTCACACCCAGGGCAACCTAGCACCTCGGCAGGCTGGTAGCGATCTCAGCGTACAGATCCTGCTGACCATGCCTGCCACCAGGCCTCCCCTCTGCTCTCTCCCTCGGTGCACACTGTCCTAGGGGGTTGGGTGAATACCTATTATAGTGTGTCCATATGACAGCTCAGAATACTGAGTCCCAGAGCAATTCAAATACTTCTGGCTCCTTTCCGTGGAAAGCTGCATCAAGCCTAACTCATCTCCCTATGCTGGGCCCAGGAAGAGATGGCCCTTTGGTGTACCATGCTGTTTGAGTAGCCAAGACCTTTGGGAGTAAAGGCCCCTGGCCGTGTAAGCAATATAGGGGGAAGCGTCCTGAGCTCCTCTCGTGGCCTTTCTGCTACTGGGTGCTCCACAAGCTGGTCCCTGTGCCCTGGTTCTCTGGAACTGTTTCCCAAACTGGGGCTGCTGAACAGAGGGTAACCCAGCCAAGTGAGGGCAGGAAGTGAGCAAGAAAGCAGGATGGGCCTCACAGGATCACCTGAAAGGGCAGGGCAGGGCAGGTGGCCCATGACAGGTGGGATGCTGGCTTGCCTGCCTGCCGCCATCCCCTGCTCCTTCTGGAAGCCATGCCCTGCCTTGAGCCATGGCCTTGGTGCTAAGACTACCCACTCACCTCCTTTTCTCCACTTCCCTCTGGCTGTCACCTTGAGGAGCATCACCCTGGGGCTTAGGCAGCTGTGTCTGTGGGATGTGGAGCCCTCCTCCTCCTCAGAGGCCCAGGCCAGCCCCCCAGTGCTGAGACAGCCTGCAGCCTGGGGGCACCCAGCTTGTTTCTGAGGTATCTTCCAGGTCAGCCTCCTCCTCTCCCTCTTATCCTCTTATCCCATCCCCTTCTCCTTCTCTTCCATCCCGCCCATTGGGTCCCTCTGCCAAGCCCTCCACCTCCCTCCTGCCTCCTTCTGAGTCCCTGCATGACTCATACTTTCCCTGGGTCCTCCCCATAAAGTTTGGTTCCACAGGCTCTTTGAAGAGATCCAGCCTCTTCAGCTCTGGGTAGGCAAGAACCAGGCACCAGGCCATGGGTACCAGGGCCTCTGCCCCCAGCCCGGGAGTCCCTGCATGCAGGCCAGGATACTATATATGAACATGCTGACATGAGAATCTGGACTTTGGATGGAGAAAGTGGTGCTTCCCTATGTGGGTTTCTGTGTTTAAGCCAAGGAAACTGAGGCCAGAGAGATGCCATAAATTATCCAGGGACCCAGAAGGGGCTCGTGGCTGAGCTGGAGAGTGTCCCACGCCCTCTTCAGTGCCCCACACTGGCCTCTGAGTGGCAGCCTTGCTAGGATGGTAGGAATCAGCTGACCACTTATTCCTGGGCCATCAGACCCTTAGAATAGGGACCAGGTGGGCAGTTCTTCCTGTGTCTGAAAGTGGACTCACTGTGACCAGTGCTCGCCAAGGCTCAGTCAGGGGCATTGCCAGGGCATGGGGCACTGCCTGAGCATACCACATCCTCTGTGTGCTCTGAGACGCTGGAGCCCTGAGACTTGAGAGTCAGTCTGGATGCCGGCTGTCAAAAACTAGTGACGTCCACTAGAACACACTGACCTCCCCCACCCTGTGCCTCTCCTCCTCTGCAGAAGCTACCTGTGCCCCAGGGTTCTCTGTTCAGGGAAGGGTTGGACAGGCAGCCCTCAGGGTACAGCCTTGCCTGCCACTTGGGCAGCTGTCAGAGCATGCAGATGTGCCCAATGCCTAGTTGGGGCACTTGGCAGTTGCCACTGCGCCCTGGCCAGGGGTCCCAGCAGCCTCTGGGCGGTGGGTAGAGTGGGGTGCACGGTCACGCAGGCTGAGAGGACTCCCAGGACGCTCCCATCCCGCAGTTCCCACCCTGGTCTGCTGTTTTCTCCCAGCTCTTCCCCAGTGTCCCGCCTCCCCAACCTTACCTCGGGACGCAGCCAGGAAGAGAGCAAAGAGCAGGAATCCCCAGCGCCAGCGGCAGCTGCCGGCCTCCGGGGCGGTGGGGACGCCCATGTCGCCGTGGGACTCACAGGGGAACTTCTGGTGCCGGGGAGCGGGCGGGACGCGGCCGGCGCGGGGAAGCCTCCCGCGAGTGAGTGCGAGCGAGTGAGCGTGGTGGGCGGCCCCAGCGCCGCACTCCAGGGCCCCCCCCCGCAGCGCCCCCGGGAGGCCGTGGGGGGAACTGCCTCTCCGAGGGCCCCGTGGGAGGGGCTTCCCTGAGGCCGGCCCCGTGGGTGGAGAGCCAGCCTGCGTCCCAGCGAGTCAGCTCTACTTGATTGGCAGTTTCAAGACCAGAGAGAAGATTATTATTGCTGCGCAGCCTAAGTCGATCACTCTCGAACAGCGTGATAGACTTGGCTTGCATCTCCCCTCACCCACCAGCCTTTGAGTGGTCAGGGGACAGAGACTTGTACCCTACATCCTCCAGCCAGATCAGGGCTTGGTATGTGGTAGGCACTCCCAGTTGTGGAATGAGTGAGTGGATGAAATCTGACATTGTGAAGAGCTAGGCAAGTTGGAGCCAGTTTAACTGTAGATTCAGAGCCTGAGGCATCTTGAGTGCGTGCACACAGACACACAAAATAGGTGCAGGACTACACACCAGGATCACTGCTCCAGGACACACACAGGTATGCAGGCAACACCTGTTGGGATGCCCCACAGCGTATCCAGCAAGTTCCTGTCCTGAAAAGGCCTCAGCTGTCCACCTGGCTGTGCACGGGCCCTCCCTTCTAGTGCCTGGATATCTGCAGGTTACTCTGATGCACCCTCACGTCTAGTACCTCTGCTCTTGCACCCGCACCCAGCACTGCTGGCACCACTGGGAAGTCTCTCCTCCCCAAATTCTTCCCATCCCTCAGGGCTCAGCTCAGGTCCTCCCACTTCACAAAATGTCCTGACCCTTCCTTTTCCCCCACAAATCCTTAGTGTCCACACCCCCTTTGGCTACCACCTCCAGCCTGAGTTAATCAACTAGTGGGTTTTTCTTCTGGCTTTTCTGCCCTCCAAGCCTCTCCCTGATGTTTCTGAGTCCCTAGCACAAAGCTGGGCATGGAGAAGGTGTTTATTGCCCTTTATCTGAATGGACAAACCAATGAATGAGTGTGATGGAGGAGTGGAGGTGATCGTGGCCAGGACCAGGGATTGCAGGAGTAGGAGAGCACAGCCGTTTTACTCAGTTTACCCCAGTCTAGCTGAAACTTCCTGTGGTTTTTCTGGCCCTTTAGGGGTCTTGGGTTCATAGGTGACTCCTAGGCTGAGGAGCAGAGGACAGCCAGAGTCAGACTGGGTCAGGAACTGAATGGGAAGGCTGAATGGGAGCCAGGCATTCTGGGGCCCTGTGGGTGGCCTGATCCAAGTCATAGGCTCTCTGGCGGCCCTTAGCCCTGGCTCTCAGGGCAGGGAAGGCTACAACAGAGGACGGCTGGTGCATCATGTTATTACTAAGTGACCTTGTGCAGGCCCAGCCCTCCTGGAGCCAGGGAACTCCCCCAGGATGGGAGCCCCAGATGCTGCCAGGACAACCCTGGTCCTTGGGCATGCCCCTGGCCTTGTGACCCCACCTCGGGAAGCAGCCCAGGGCCCTTCTTGCTGGCACAGTGTGAGCTCTCTTCCACCAGGGGAGCCACAAAGCCAACTGAGATAAAGTGGACACTGGGCCCTTCTCACCCTGACATCCTCTAGCAAAAGTGAGGTGAGGTCCCTTAAGAGTGAGACCCTAGAGCACCACCCTGTCTCAACCCTTCCTGGACTGGCCTTGCCCAGGCCACCATTGAAACCAGACTTCCTCTGCCCCAGGGCCTAGCAGCTGAGGAGAGCCTAGAATTAGAGAGAGGGAAGCAACTGCCCTGCCAACCTCTTCCCCCAGGGGGCTAGTTCCCTTCCCCTTTCCACCTCCTTTCTCCCCACCATTCTGCTGTCTACTGAGCCCCCTGGGGTTGCATCAGGGAGAGATACAGGCATTGCCCAAGGGCCATGATCCAGAAACCTCAACCACTGTTTCCTCAACACCAGGCAAGACAGGAAGGGCTCAGCTGAGAGGGCCTGTGGAGCACAGACTTTCTCCTCCTTCCAGAGACCAGAGAAATTCAAACCCACCTTCCCTCACCAAGCCCAGACCTGGTCTCAGAGCAGGAGAGCTCTAAGGCACAATTCTGTTCAACCCCTCCACTCCCAGCCCCTACAGCCTGCACAATGGTTGGACCCACTTCCAGTGGGTCTTGAGGGTGAGTTTGGGAAAGCGAGAAATGTCAGCACTCCCTCCCCAACAGGGAGGCTGAAATTCAGCCCCTTTCCTGCAAGGTGGCCCTCTTGTACTCTTGCCAGCAGGTAAGGAGGCTCAGGAGGGCTAAAGGCTGAGCCCCTCACCATTCGTGAGTACTCACAGCTGCCCCCAGGCCCTGCAGAGCCACAGATGGGCATGGTGGCCTTCCTTGACAGTCATCTTTATTTGAATATTTGGGGCCTCCACTGATATTTTTTAATGAAAACAAGCACAAACACAATGGAGAAAGATGCAAAATCCACATAGGCTTTCAAAGAGAACATGAGAGATTGCAAACATATTTCATTCTGGAGGCAAACCATTTAGGGCAGTCCTCAGAATGTGCAAGTTCCCCCTCCATTCTAGTGGAAAAGTTTGAGAAATGCTAAATCATGCATTTTCCTCCTTGTGAGCGTGTTATTTTAAGATTCATTGAGACCCTGCAACCCAAAGGAATGCCTCCCTAATGGTGGGCTTCAGTCCACTTAGCTGATGACAGCAGACCAGAAGCTCACAACATCTGAGCTAGAAACAAATTTAGAAATCAAGCCAGGTCCTTTATTAACAAACAGAAAAGGTCCAGAGACAGGATGTGACCTGCCCAAGGTCACACAGCTCCTTTTCAAGGTTGCCATCCCTACCTGCTTTGGAAACCATTTCAGCAAACGCCCAATGCCTGCCACCCCCAAGATCCAGAGCTGCGTCTCAGAGGAATCATTGCCTCCCCAGGGGCAGGGACAGCCTTCTTGGGTCCAGATCCCCTGCCCATCTGCCCATCCTTCCGTTGGTAGCTCCAGAGCTAGCCAGTCCCAAGGAAAAAATTATATGCGAATTGCCTACATTGAGTTGTTTTTACCGCCTGCTTTCTATTCTCTGGCCTGGCAATGGCCTAGTCACATCCTCTCTACCCACACGTCTTTGCAGTGATTATCACCTTATTTTATATTAGTCACTCATTATGGTTTGTATTATTTAGGGTCCTGGCAGGAAACAGATAGCACACTCAGAAACGGTTCAACTGAAGATAGTTTAATACAGGGACTGTTTAGGAGGGCTGATGAAGCACCCAGAGACTAGCATCCAACCACAGGAAGCCACTACCACTCACGTGTCCAAAGGGAAAAAAGAGGAAGCAATGTTCTGGAGCCCAGTGAAAGCTAGTGCTACGAAAGGGGGACCCCCGCCGCGAAGCAGGAGAAACACAGCCATGGGCAGCAGAACCACAGTGAGGAATGGAGGGAGTGTGGAAGAAACACCCCTGCCTCTTTCTCCTCCCTGCTTTCATCTTCTGCCAGGGCCTCCCACTGGCCAAGCCCTTCAGGAAGCTGGATAGCAAGGGAGCCCGGGTAAGGCAGTCCACAGGGGACATCTTCGATGGAGAAAGGCAGGGAAAGGGAGCAAGAACCATTTCTAGTTGGTTCTTGAGCACTGATTGCTGAGTTCTGATTGGCTGAATATTACTTGTGGTTCAGATGACCCCAAGCATTGGCAGAGATGGCCGATCACAGGAGAGCATGTTGTAGAAGCTGTTCTTGCAATGAAGTTATGTTCTGTGAGTCTTATTATCCACAGGTCAGCAAATTCTGCCCACAAAATTGCCACAAACCCAATGTCCTCCTTTTGAAAATGCTGAAGATACGTATTTATTTCACTTACATGAACGATAGATGAAGCTTAAATATGGTATTGGGCCAAATGCCTCACATTCTTGCCTCTTATAGTCTAACGGGACACCTAGGCTCAATAAGACGCTGGCCCTGGTAAAGCTCTGGGCTGGGGTGACTACCAGAGTTCATCCCATATGCCAGTCTTAATCACTAGACCACTGTGCTAACAAGGATCCCAAGTTTGCATCTTGCCTCAGCAGTTCTGTGATTGATTAGTGATGTCTGCTGTGAACACAGATGTAGGAGTGGTGGTGCAAGTGCCGTCTTGGACAGAGCAGTTACCTTGCTTGGCTTCTGGTGCAGCTTTTGAGCTTTCTTCCTCTAACAGCCTGTGACCTCCCCGCTGCTTTCTTCTCCCTTGGCCTTCCTGTGTGAGTCACATGGAGTGAGTTCAGCCCAGGAGAGCAGCCATCTGGATCCACCCCAATCCTTCTGGCCACCTAACCAAGGACCTGACCCACTCTTTTCCACAGGCCACCACACACGTGTACGTGACCATTGTGGATGAGAATGATAACGCGCCTGTGTTCCAGCAGCCCCACTATGAGGTGCTGCTGGATGAGGGCCCAGACACGCTCAACACCAGCCTCATCACCATCCAGGCACTGGACCTGGACGAGGGGCCCAATGGCACAGTCATCTATGCCATCGTCGCAGGCAACATCATCAACACCTTCCACGTCGACAGATACACGGTCAGCAGCTGATGGCAGGATCAGGACAAGGGACGAAGCCTCTCCAGGGATGGGCGAGGAGCTCAGTGACACTGTGGGGGGAATAGAGCAAAGATGAAGTCTAGGGGAAACAATGGGGGCATTCAGTGTGGGAGGATGAAAAGTTTGGTGGAGTGGATCCTGGGCTAAGGGGTAGCAGGGGTTCCCCATCATGGCTCCAATGTCAGGGCCTACTTCCCAGATTGGTCAGAGGGTGCCCCAGACCCACCACCCCTAGATCCATCCTTGTCCCTTCCATGTGTCCCTAGGGTGTCATCAGTGCCACCAAGGAGCTGGACTACGAGATCAGCCATGGCCGCTACACCCTGATTGTCACTGCCACAGACCAGTGCCCCATCTTATCCTGCCGCCTCACCTCTACCACCACGGTGGGTGCATGGGACACAGCCCCAATTTGGGCTTGGAGGTGGGGGAAGGATAGGACACAGAAAGCTCCAATGGGGGAAGGGGTTAGGGGAAGACTGTCTAAGGGAAATACCTAA